TCCAACAAGGCAGACCAATCGGCCTTCGACGTGCTGGAGGGCGTGGTGGCCACGAAGAGCACCCCGGACGGCGTGGACCTGAAGCTGTCCAACTACAGCACCACGGCGGCCATGAACGGCTCCATCGCCTCGGCCAACAACGCCACGCTGGCCACGGTGGCCGCCAACTACGGCCTCAAGACGGTGGTGGACCAGCACTCCCTAGACATAGCGGCGAGGATCACGCCGCTGGAGGTCGACACCAAGGTGGCCAACGCTCTCCTGGGGGCCGTCACCGCGGCGCTGGCCTCCGAGCTCGCGAGCCGAGACGCCTCCATCTCGGGGCTGCAGGCCTCCAAGGCAGACGCCAGCGCCCTGACTGCTTACGCCCTGCAGTCGGCCGTGGACACTTCCTCGGTGGTGGACTCTAAGATAGCGGCAGCCCTCTTGGACGCTGTCACCACGGCAGCCCTGGACGCCGCCCTCCTCGGCAAGGCGGACGCAAGCGCGCTGGCCTCCCTGCTCTCCACGGTGGACGGGCTGGACACGCCACTGGAGGTAGACACCAAGATAGCAAATGCCCTGCTGGGTCTCGCCACCGAGGCCTTCGTCGCAGCGCAGCTTGCTAGCCGTGACGCCAGCATCACGGCGCTCCAGGGGGCCAAGGCCGACGCGACGCTGCTGGCCTCGTACGCCACGAACGCCGCGCTCTCAGCCAGCGAGACCACGCTCCAGAGCGCCCTCGACGCAATCCTCGCGGAGCTCGCCGCCCTGCAGCTTTCCGGCAGCGGCGGAGTTGTTAACGCGCCGGCCTGGGCGGGCTTCACGACTTGGGAGCTCGTTCGCGGAAGCAACGTCGTTCGCAACCTGCATTTCGTGGCTCCTCTCTCTGCTGCGCTGGCCAACGGCGACGACACGCTGAGCATCACGGCAGACTGCTACTCCACGGCGGGCACTGACGCTGCCATAACAGCAGCCTTGCTGGCCTACTACACCTCCTTACAAGTGGACACTCTGTTGGGGGACTACCGCACAGGGGCAGCGCAGGACGCGGAGACGACCAGCGCCATCACAGCCGCGCTGCTGGCTACTACACCGCAGCGCAAGTGGACGCGCTGTTGGGAGACTACCGCACGGCGAGCGCGCAGGACACGCAGACGCAGGCCGCCATCACGGGCGCGCTGCTGGCCTACCGGACGGGCCCGGACCAGGACGTGTTCACAACCAACCAAATCACCTCCGCGCTGGTGGCGTACCGCTCGGCCGCCGACCAGGACACGGCAACGGCCTCAAGCATCGCCGCCGCCCTGCTCAGCTACTACACCATCACGCAGGTGGACGGTTTGTTGGCCAACAAACTCGGAGTCACGGAGGCGGCCTCGGCGCTGCAAATAGCAGTGCGCTTTCCGGACGACGGAGGGGCCGACGAGGTGGTGGCCGCCATAGGAGAGCAGATCCTGGGACCTCGCTGTCAAACTGGACGGTTCGCCCCAGCAGCGGCTGCAGCGTGGTCCTGGCCACGCACACCGCGGGAGTGAGCGTGGACGGCTACACCCTGACCCTGGCAGCGAACCCGTGGAACATTGTGCGCACCTACAACTTGACGCCGGGCCGAGAGCTCCTGTTCGCCTGCCGCTACCGGCTCGGCACGGCCTCCAACTTCGTGGTGTACATGTCCGAGGCCGACAACGTCTACGACCCATTGTACGGCAGCTTCGTGGGCGACCAGGGCGCCTGGAGCACGGCCAAGATGTACTTCACAGTGCCTCCGAACGGAGTTGCGAAGCTGCACTTTGGGGCGCACTTCCAGGCGCCGGGCCTGCCCAACCAGACGGCTGGAACGGTGGACGTTTACGGCCTCCAGATCCTGGACGCAACCCTGGAGACCGGCAACGCGGTGGAGGCGGAGGAGGAGGACACGGCGGCCTCGGCGCTGCTGCTGAAGCACGAGTTCCTCGACGGAGGGGCCGACGACGTCACGCTGGCCACCCTGGGCGAGGTGCTGCTGGAGCCCACGCTCACCACGCTAGGAAATTTCCTGGTGCGCTCCAACAGCCAGAGCTCCGTGGCCTCGGCCAGCTTCACGGTGGGAGGCTTCCAGCTGGAGGGCTACGCCATGACCCTGAGCGCCTTCGCCTGGAACATCGTGCGCACCTACACGCTGACGCCGGGGAGACGCTACTCCTTCGGCTGCCGGTACCGGCTGGGCACGGCCTCCAACTTGGTGATGTACGTCAGCGCGGCCGACAACGACCACGTGGGCGTCACCGGCACCTTCCTCGGCACGGCCTCGCAGGGAGTGTGGAGCACGGCGCGCCTGGACTTCTCGGTGCCGCCGGGCGGAATCGCGAAGCTGCACTTCGGAGCCTTCGGGGGCTCCATCCCCGGGCTGGTGCAGCAGTCGGCGGGCACGCTGGACCTGTACAGCATGCAGATCAGGGCCACTGCCTTCGAGGGAGAGTCTGTCTCAGTAACGGACCTGCTGGCGGACTCGCTGGCCCTCACGGGCTCGGCCACGCTGGACGGGCTCACCGCGCAGGGCAACGTGGGCTGCGACCAGCTGCTGTGCAACGACGTGAACTGCACCGACGTGTTCACCACGGGCGTGGACGCCTCGGGCGCAGTCTCCTGCGCCGCGCTCACAGCCACAGGCACCGTCGCCGGGGCCGCGCTGTCGTCCACAGGGGCCGTGTCAGGCAGCTCGCTGAGCATCAGCGGCGCGGCCAGCGTGGGCCTGCTGAGCTCCGCCACGGGAATCACGGGCAGCACGTTGACCATCAACAACACGGCCAACGCCGGGAACTTCACCACGGTGGGCGACGTGTCCACGGGGACATTGACGGCCTCGGGCGCAGCAACCGCGGCGAGCTTCGCAGCCACCGGGGCGCTCACGGGCGCCACGCTGACATCACCGGTGCGGCCTCCACGGGCCCGCTGTACTGCGAGAGCCTGGACTGCACCTTCACGGCCACGAGCGGCGGAGTGTCGACGGGCAGCGTGGTGTGCGGCAACGTGACGAGCTCGGGCACGGTCTCCGCGCCGCAGCTCTTCGCCTCCAACACGCTCACCGTGACCAACACCTCCGACTTCTCGGACGATCTCTTCCTGACGAAGAACTGGGCGGGCTGGAGCAAGCTGCAAGTGTCCAACAACAGCGCGGCCCCCGACAGCGGCCCGGAGCTGCGGCTGCTGGGCAACCAGAGCGCCAGGGTCTTCCTGGAGCGGGACGGCGGGGCGCACCAGTGCGAGCTCATCATGATCAACGACGAGGCGCTGGTGCAGACGAAGAGCCTCTCGACGCAGCTGTCCTTGACCACGAACCAGAGGAACCCCGGCTGCCTCGTGATCGCGGGCAACACGGCAACGTGGTCTGCAACACGAGCTTCACGAATTTGTCGGACAGCAGGGTAAAGACGGAGATGGCCGAGGCCGACGTGGCAGAGCTGCTGCAGCTGTTCGACTCCGTGGAGGCCATGCAGTACAAGCGCCCGGACATGAACGAGGACCTGAGGCTGGGCTTCGCCTCGAACGACTTCGCAGGAACGAAGTGGAAAGAACCTGACGGGCACCGCCAGGTGGAGCGACGGCATGGAGATGATCACGCTTGACTACTCGCACCTCACCAGCGTGCTCTGGGGGGTGTGCAAGGGCTTCCAGGCCCGGCTGGACGAGTTGGAAGCCTGGCAGGCCCAGCGGGGGCCGAAGAACAAGTAAACATGGAGGCGCTGAGGGACCTGGCCGACGACTTCAACGTGCGGGACCCGCGGAAGCTGTACCAACTTGCGAGGCAGCGCGACCTCGACGTGACGCAGGCCATGGCCTTCGAGGCACTGAAGGCCGACGTGGGCCGGCAGGTGCAGGCGCCCCGGCCGCGCGCGCTGGGCAAGTCGGCCGCCGAGGGGCCGAACGACCGGCTGCAGGCCGACCTCGCCTGGTGGTGATGGACGTCTTCACCCGGGAGGCTGCCGTGGAACCTCTGCAGAACAAGAACGCCGAGACGGTCGGCCGGGCCACCAAGCGTGCCACGCAGGAGCTGACGGGGGACGACAAGAACTTCGTGGTCACGACCGACCTGGGCAACGAGTTCGCCACGCTGGACCGGGAGCTGCCCGCGGAAGCCGTGCACCGAACGAAGCGCCCGGAGGACCGCAACGCCACGGCCGTGGTGGACCGGGGAATCCAGACGCTGAAGAAGGACCTGGCCACGCGCGTGGCCCGCAAGGGCGGCCAGTGGAGCGACCACTTTGAGCAGACCGCTTCGGCCTACAACGCGCGGCCCCACGAGACGGTGCATGGCGCCCCGGAAGACGTGGAGAAGCAGCCGGCCACAGAGTTCAGGGTCCTCCAAGACAACGCCGACAGGTTCCAGCACAACAAGGACTTGACGAACCGCCGCATCAAGGCAGTGGAGGACGCGGGCGCTTTCCGAGCACCGACGAACGCGGCGAGGAGCTTCAACCCTCAGTACGGCGACGTGCAGCAGCTGCGGGCCGTGGACTCCATGACCGTCCGGAGCACCGAGGGCCGGGAGACCCTGCTGAAGCTGGCGCTGCCGGCGCCCCAGGGCAGCGGCAACGCGGCGGGCCGACTGACGAGGCGGGGCAGGCCGGCAGCTGTCAGGCAGCTGGACGACTTCCTGGCGCCTCCAAGGCCCAGGACCCTCGACTGATTACGGCTACTTTGGACCAAACTGGAAACTTTGCATAAAGCGCTGGAAACTTGTAGTACTTTGAGTCGTGTTTTTGGGGAACCCTAGCATGATTTTCCTGAGAGCACCCCTCTCGGACGACATCATTATAAAAATCTGAATCCCCATTTCCGTGTCCTCGACCTATCGACCTGCTCGAGCAAGACGTCGAGACCGCAGCCTCAGGCATTGAGGCATCTAACAAGGGTTGGACATCTGAGGTGCGCTCAAGACAGCAAGGGTTGGACAGCGTTTTCCTTGCGCAAGCACGCCATCTGTTCACGTGACTTGCCGGGTCTCTGCAAATGGCTGACACTGTACGTCACCCAAAAGCCTAAGAGCTACTTGTCGATGCCGATCGGAGCTTCACACCCACCATGCGCTCATTTTGCTTGAGGGTGGAGATGTACCGCGGGCCATAGGATTGTCCTTTGATCCCCAACTTCGAGATCACGCTCTTTGCCGCGCCCAAGGTGTCCAGGCTGAGGTAGGTCTTCAGCGCCATCGTCAGCTCCGTGTGGAGGCTTGCTTCCTTCAAGGGCACCAGCGCACACATCTCCGCCATGAAGGCCTCGGGTTTGGCCTCCTCGTCCTTGTCTGCACATGGGACCAGGTCCATGGCGCTCATCTTCATCTCCGGTGGCTGCGGCTTGATCTCGGTGCCTGGGTTGTACTCCATCTCCAACGAGTCCACGAGATTTGCCGCAAGGAAGAACATGTACTTGTTGAACTCTCCTCGGTTTATCCGGGTCTTGAGGCCATCCACGGCTCGCTCCTCGGTGGCCATGGACGGCTTCAAGGTGAACTTGACCGTTGTCTGGCAGACTCGAAGCCGCCGCAGCATCCCATCCGGTCGAGTCACACGGGGAGGGGAATTGCTTGTTGCCACCAGCAAAGCCGTAGGCATGAAGTCCCGGGGACCCTTGTTGAGCTTCCTGCTGCAGACTGGCGCACCTTCCATGTCACAAAAGGGCTTGATGAAGTCATCCGCCAACGAGTAGTGCTCGGGGACTTCACTGGCCCAGGCCAGCCGCTTGCCTAGAGTCCTTGCATGGTAAGGCGCGGGTCCGTCCTTCGCGGTCAGGTAGCGAGTCTGCTGCACCACATAGTTTCCCGGAAGCTTCACCCCGTAGTTGTTCTCGTGACCGAAGAAGGCGTGCAACATCTTCACCTTGGTGTCCTTCCCGGAATCCTGGCTTCCCCAGATGTAGTACATCTCGCAGAACCGCGGCGACGCGGAGATGGCCCTGGTCATGAGACGCAGCTCGTACAGGACGGAGTCCCAGTCCCCGGCGTGCAACATCTTCAACTTGGTGTCCTTCCCGGAATCCTGGCTTCCCCAGATGTAGTACATCTCGCAGAACCGCGGCGTCGCGGAGATGGCCCTGGTCATGAGACGCAGCTCGTAAAGGACGGAGTCCCAGTCCCCGTACACCTTCATGTGGCGGAGGATCTCGCACCCGTCCTGCTCCAATTCCTCGAAGCACTCGATGACCTGTTTGCCATTCTCGCTGGCCTCGAGCAGACACACCCCCGTCTCCAGATGCTCCTTCAAGAAAGCCAGGATGTGCTCGAAGAGCTTGGTCGCCTTGCTCGGCTGCCACATCTCTGAGGTCGCCTTTGCGTGGAAGCCCATGCGGTCGGCGGGGATCGGTGATCGGAGGACACGCTCCTTGAAATCGTAGAGCATGCCGTCGCAAAAGAGGATTTTGTGCCGTGTCTCGTCGCCGTCGAGGTCCGCCATCTGCGGGCCTGCCAGACGCCCCAGAACGGACGAGGACAGACCGGTGAAGAAGGCATTATCGTTGAGGGGCGGCGGCGGCACGTAGTTCTCATCGGCTGTCTCGAAGACCGGGCAACACAGCTTGTTCATCAGGTCTTCCACGGTCTGGCCCAAGTCGTCCCGGTTTCGCACCAGCCAGAAGCCTCCCTTCTCGAAGCTTTCGTAGGTGGTCCTCTTCTCACCCCCCTCCACCGGAACGTGTACGACCGGGACCAGCTTCGCCGCCGCCAGCTTCGCAAAGTCCACGGTGGTTGCCCTCGCCCGTCCAAGTATGACGTGCTGCCTGCAGCGCTGGAGCAGTTGGTGGTACCCGGAGAACTCCATCTTCGACTTGAGTCTCCAATCCAAGTTGGGGTACGTCGCCGCCGCGTATGCCCACGGGTCCTCCAGCTCGTGCATGACCACCTCGACATCCACGGCTCGCTTCACGGCCTCGCTCGCGGAGCGGAGGGCCCCGATGCCGTCGTGCTGGTGGTCGTTGAAGGCCCTGCCGAGCCAAGCAGCCACCTCGCCGCGCTCCCCCTCATCCGAAGCCAAGAAGGGTATGTCCTGCAGCACCTTGCTCGTCCAGTTTGCGAAACCACCCCCAAAGCCCAGGGCAATCATTAGCTCCTTCGCCACGCTGCGCCGGCGGGCCTCGGGCAGCTTGTGGAAGAGCACGCGGCCGATCTGCGCGAGCTTCTCCTCACGGTGGTCCAGGTACTCCGCCATGATGGGCGGCAGCGGCTTCTGTCGGTTCAAGAGCTGGAAGAACAAGTTCTTGATGTCCAGCTTGCGGTTCCAAGGCGATGCCGCGTGATGTAGCGGACCAACTTCTTGAAGGCAAACGCAGAGCGCCCCACAAGCGTGTCTGGGACCCCCATCTCGATCTCCTTGCGAATCTCCGGCGGCAGCTGCTTCATGAACTCTGCCCGAGCGGAATCCACGGCGCCCTCATTGCCTTTGCGCTTTTTGGCAGGCGCCTCCTGTGCGGGCACCGACCGATGCCGGAGAAGATCCGCCCCTTCAGCCCAGGCGCGGTGCGGCCTGGGCGCAGGAGCACGGGAATCCACCCAATGCCGTCCTGGTCCACATTCACAGAGCGCTTGAACAGGCTCATCAGCACATCAAAGAGACTGTGGTCGGGGCATCGCCGCACGGCGTCGAGCTGCAGAGCGTTGCTGATGGTGAACTCGTCCGTCCGCTCCCAAACAAGGCGATGGTGTTTTAGGTTATCCTCGGGAGGCTCGGTAAACTGCTCCTTGAACTGCGTGTAGTGCCCCAGTTGGGCCGGTGTCGGAAGCTCTACCTCCTCCTCTACCTCCTCCACCTCCTCCTCCTTGACCTCCGTCTCCATCTGCTCCGCCGGCTCCTCCGTCTCCGTCTCCATCTGCTCCTCCGCCGGCTCCTCGGCCGGCTCCTCGACCG